ACTAAAAACAACCAAACACAAGTTTCAAGTAAATTTATTTATCAATAATCAAATCATTTACCGTCCACTTATCTCAGTGGGATTTATAAAAACGACCTATGGAAATAATAACATCATAAATGTCATGAATTCATACATAATCTGTATCATAGTACATGTCATACTTTTATATTTCAATCATCAAATAACAGTTACTCCCTTTTTATCAGCCTACTAGCATCCGTGGGGATCCATAGGGGTCCCCGCTACACGTGAACCATTCCTTTAACAAACTTAATTCTCAGGGCCGTCCCCATACCCCGTTCGGTATGAGCGCCAAATAATAAAACCTCAATACCCCGTCCAGTCCGTCTACTATCTCACAGGATATTTAGTGAGGTTGTCAACTTATCCATTTATCAATTCATATACCTTTTCTATTTTTTTCCTTAGTTTTCCGTTTCCCACATAAACATGAATAGTTAAACGAGTAACGAGCATCCAATAAAGTAAGCATATCATCGAATTCACAAAATCAAGCAATAATGAAGTAAACAGTGATTCATGCATTCAAAACCATAAAATAAATAAATCAGATACCATATTATATTTAGACTGTAAAATAAATCAAACAGGAACTGACAGAGAAATATGTCCGGTTCGGGCTCTATTACCAACCATAATAATTATGTATATCTATTTAATTCATTAAATATAGTTCTATCATTTATTAGACTTTAACCCCGTGATAGGAAATAGGGTGAGGGGTCCTTATTTGATTCGAAGTCGAAAACTGGATTTTTTTCACTGCGCCTACAAGCAGTCCCTAAGTTCTCTGAATTTTTTCTTGGGAACTGAAACGTGTTTACGGTACCTACACAGATCCCAAATAACTCAAAAATCATATCCGAGGCCTATTCGGCAAATTTTGGAAGCCGCCGCTTGCAGCGGCGATCCGCCTCGGGTTGGCCATTTTCGGCCGAATTCGGCCAAACTTGCATTGGCTCCTGTGAGAAAACACCTCTAGGGTCTTTGGTGGGCAGAAAAAATATTGAAAACCGAAACTTATCGGCGGCGGGGCTCTTCGGTGCGGCAGCTCCTCTAGCTCGAGTCGCGATTTGGTGTTTTGCTCCGGTCAACCTGTAGAGGAAGGAACGGTGGTCACAATGGTGTAAAAATTACATTGAACGGGAATCGAGAAGGGCTTCATCAGAGGCAAAAACTAAGAAAATCCGCGGCGGCGCCGCTGGGCTTCGGCGGCGTTTTCCGGCCAATTTGCCAGTGTTTTGGCTTCGATTTGGCCACAGGTGGGTTTAGAATCGAATTCTGAGCTAAGGGGAGAATTTTTACCTCGTTTGGCGGCCGGAAAGTGCTCTGGTGCGGCGGCGGGTGGTGGCGGTCGGCTCCCTGGCGGCTGGGTTGTCTTCTCCGGCGAGGGTTCTGGCGGCTAGGGTTAGGGTTTGGGTGTGGATGAGATTATTTATACCTTCCGCTTTT